ATAAATAACATAAATACAATAAAATGAAATAATATAAACATATAAAATAAATAATAAATAATAAAATGATAATAAATCAAATAAACAAATCATAATATATTTTTAAAAATAAAATTAAAATTAAAAATAAAAAGATATAAAAATGAAAATAAAGAAATAAAAATAAATGATAATACAAATTTTAATGATTATATATCTTGATTATATCATTTCATCATTCATATCATTAAATACATTTCATTTTATTCATATTCAAAATAAATCAAATAATATTCATTAATTAATCATCATTTATTAAATAAAATTATTTTATGAAGAAATGAATAGATAAAATATAGAAATTATATAAAATACGAATAAATAAATGAAAATAAATATTAAATAATGATTCATTATTTATTTTAAAATAATCAATAATCAAATAATATATTAATAAATTATGATAATGAATAAATATTTCAAATTAAATAAAATAAATATAAATAATATAATTGAATAAATAAAATAAATATAAAACAATGAAATAATGAAATAAATATTATTTTATTATTTATTATTTATTCTATATAAATTTATTTATTATTTATTATTATTTGATTAATATTATTATCTATTTATCATGAAAATGAATATTAAATTATTATAATTAAATTTAAATGTTGTTATAATTAATTGTATTTATATTTTATTTTATTTCATCATTTTATATTTTAATTTCATATTTTAATTATATTTCTATTGTTATTTTATCATTATTCATAATTATTATTTTAATTATTCTTTATGATGATTGATGTTGATAATTTGTATTATTTTTATCAATAATTTATATATCTTATTCTTTTATTTCTATCATATTCATATTTATGTATTTTATTTATTTCTTTTATTATTCATATTGTTATTTATGAATAATAATTTATTTATTTTCTGTATTTTCATTTTATATTTTGTATATCTAACTTATCTTGTGTATGTTATTCTGTTGTTTATTATCTTTTATTTCATTTATTTATTCTTTTCTTGTTTCATATTTTATCTTGTTTATATTTTATTCAATATTATTTTGATAAACAGATTCTCTTTTTTTTCACTTCTTCTATATTAAATATTGTTAATGATATTATAAATGTTAATATATTTATAATTTCATTTTATGAAGATGTAATATCAATTTTAATGATTTTGATTCAACAAATTATATTTCAAATTTTATATTTTCTGTTATTCTTGTTGTTTCATTATTATTTTTCATCATTCTTGTTATATTCTTATTTTATTTATTTAATATCATTGTTATGAATATAACAATACAATTTATTCATCTTTATACATTCATATTTCAAAATATCTTGTATTAGATTTTCATTCAATATTATTTTATTTATTGTTTTAATGTGTTGTGTAAATCAATATTGATTAATATCTAAATTATTAACAATTATTTGTTTTCATTTTTATTATTTGATATATTCATTAATTTGATTCATGTATTTTCTTTCTATTCTAATTATTATAATTCAATTGTATCATAACAATCACATATTGTATATCTCTTTATGTTCTATTTGTTTATTTATTTTCTTATTGTTGATTATCACTTTCTTTCATTTCATTCTTTTTCAAAATCAATTTACAATATTCACTTTTATAATTTCATGTATTCACAATAACAACTAATTTTGAATGTTTCATTCTGTTCATCTAATTTAATTAAATGAAAATGAATGATAGAAACATTCATTTAAATCCTTAAAATTTAACATCTTCTTTATTTATCATATTGAATTTCATAAAATCAATTCATTATCATTCATTACATCTTATTATCATTTATTATGATTCAATGATGTTTCTTATATTTCATGTATATTTTATATCATTTAATCATTCATTTTAAATATTTTGTTATCAACAATGAATGATTATGATGTAATAAAGTAAAAGAATGATAAAACATGGTGTTGTGAAATAATGAGAGTTCTACAAATGATTATCATGTTCAAAGAAGATAAAATATAAGAGAAATGTGATTGATATAATCTTCTCAATTTAAAATCATAGAATCAACATAATGTTCACTTTTATGACTTTTTAGTTTTCAAATAGAAGTCAATAACAAGAAATGAATGATACAAAACAATAATAATAAATCAAGATACAAATAATGAAGAAATGAAGTTAATCAAATAGAATAAAATGATAAAGAAATGATAAAATAATAAAGAAGATAAAAACAAGAAAACACAATAAATAATAAAAGAATAAAGTTGAAAATAATAATTAAAATAAAGAGAATATATAATCAAAAAGAACAATAAATAAATGTAGTTTTAAAATAAATAATAAATGATATATAATAATAACACAATGAGAATAATAAATAATATAAACAAAAGAAATGATAAATAAAGAAATAAAACAAAAGAAGATATAACAAGAAATGAATAAACACAATAATAACAAATAAATACAAATGAATATAGATTAAATACGATATTCAATATGAAAATAAAAGAATAAATAAAATAACATATCAAATTAATGAATAATAAAATCAATACAATCAAATAACCAAACAAATAAATAATAAAATAACATAATATAATAATGAATATTCAATAATAATTCATCAATCATTAAATTATAACAATACAATGATATTTATAATGTAAATTAATTATAAATGATTTTATTGAATTCTGATAACACATTACAAATAAAATCATAAATAAAAATGTAAAGAATTTCAAATAAAATGATTATCATTTGTGAATATGTTTGTATTTAATCATTGTTATAAATGTTAAAATAAATAATTAGGTTTTAAGATAAATTACATCCTTTGTCTTTATTTTTTTCTTTTGTTCAACTTTTAAATAAGTTCTCAGTGCCTCTTCAACAATAAAATCAACGTCATCTTTCTCTGAATTACACCACTCAATGTACTCAACTGCACTAATTCTTTTATCTATCACCTCTCCTTGTTCATCTGATTTTAAAGTAATTCCTTGTTCAGCCAAACCGTTAATTTTTTCAGGGTTTTTTGTTACTTCAGTACAACTACCAACAAGAATGATAGGTGCATCTTGACAATAACATTCAATATCATGTTTCCATATTGTTTCCACATGATTATATGACTCTGAGTCAATAATAGAAAACAAAACAATAAAAACATCAGTATCTGGATATGACAATGATCTTATCTGATAAATTCTTCATATTCCTCAGTAGAAATCATACAAAGCATTATTAATACCATCAATAATGACATAGATCATTCTATCCATATCATTCAATGTTGTATTCTCTCCTTGAGGAATCTCACCATTGTAAATTGCAATAAGATCATTTTTCAACACGATTATTTCATATAATAACACAGTTGCACTTCAACTCAATGAACTAGATATTTATTTTTTAGTCTATTTTTTATTTTTCTAATATTCCAAAAATCATTTGAATATTATTGTTTTGTTTATTCAACAGCAGAGTTAGAACATGGTTCATTTGATTAAAAGAAATACATTTGAGAATTCAGATGAATGTTGAAGTTGAGTGTAACTCAAAAAACTATAACTAAATTTAATGAAAAGTGATGCATAAAACATCATAGAATATTAAACAACTATAACAAAAGAATGAGAAATCAATATCAACCAACAAATATAAATGATAGAAGAATGAGCGAAAGTAAATATTAATTGTAATAAGAAATACATTACTTATCATCATATTCATTATATTTTCATTCATCACTTCATTCATTTTCATCATCATATGTATTTTATCAATAAATCAAATAGAAACAATCAGTATTATCATAGAAATAAGTCACATAATAAAGAACAATGAAGATATAAACAATATCAAAATAATCAACAAAAACAAATAAGAAATAAATGAAATGATAGAAATAATAAAAGAGAATCAAATTGAATATAAAAGAAAGAAGAAAGTAATTTGTAATATTAATTTCAATGAATGAAAGTAATCAAATAAATGAAAATATGATGTAAACAAAGTATTTGAATTTGTAATAAAAGAAATACATTGAATTAAGATAAAATAGAGAATTAATATATGTAGAAATAAACACTGTAATATTAACAATAAATTAATACAAAATAAATCAGTAGAATATTACGTTTATTAGAATTATATTATTTCAATAAGATATTACAAACAATCAGCATTGAAACAATGAAATATCTAATGACATATACATTCAACTCTAACAATGTATTAGAAGAAGAATATCCTAATTGAGTATGTTAGAAATAAACAGTGATAGAAGTAGAATATATTAAATTCACTGAAATAATCACTTCTCAATATGAAGAAAATCAATTGTAGTATATCTATTAATTGACCTGT